TCTGGTTCCTCTAGAGTCTAAACTTCAAAATTCCCTCTTATCATGTTTTTCTCTAATCAACAACATTTTCCCATAGGAAGATTTTTTATAATTAATTTTAAATATTTCATATTTTTAAATAAAACTCAAGCAACCCATAGGAAGGATTCTTGTAATTAATTTCAAAGTGATATTTCAACTCTATCTAGCTCCTTAATCAATTTATAACTTTCCAAAATTGAGGTTCTAATCACCATTTCAATATTCATTCCAAAATAAGAAACTTTTAATCGGTAATTCTCAGAAGTGAAGTATGGAGTCCGGGATCTGTTTGAAGGCTCCAATTGAATATTGGGCAAGAATGCAATTCTTCAGCTCCTATAATTGTAAATCTTTCAGAAACTGTTGTTTTACAGTCACCTAATGGGAGACTCATATATGAGTCATATATGAGCATCCCAAGTCTTCTTCCTTATCCAGAAAGGAATTCTGAGAAGCTGATCCATTTACTAGCTCTTTATATGGCATGGTGACAAGCTCTACTGCCACAGAGCTATGTTCAGTTTGCCACAAAATCCCAGGAAGTCACTAAAAACTTGGAAGCACAAGATTTTTTTTTTAAAAAAAAATTCCTGGAGTACTGCATTAGGCATGTTTGCCATCTTGAGTTATGCATAAAAATAATAAAGGTGGGATATAAATAAATAAAAATAAAAGTTAATACTATAAACTAAATATGTTTCTGTGGCAAAATGTAATGTTATAGCTGAATATTAAAAGTTTAATTTCTGAAAGCTGAGCATGTGCTACAATCACTTTTCTATTTCCACTGCAGCAACCTTTCAATTATAATGTAGTATTAATCAATAAACCAGATGTTCAAGGTTTAGCATTACCTAAGATTTAATGCCTCACTGGGGTTTATTTCTGAAGTTGCATGACTTGTGGCAACCAGAAGGTAGAGGAAGCATCTGATGTAGCAATTTAGCACACACACACACACACACAAAATCACCGTCCTCTGCTTTAAACATTGCTTCCTGATGTGGTCCTTATATGGCACATAAGTGATAAATCAGAAAAGGCAAACAAGAATGTTAGTACTTTTCAAAAATTGAAATAGGATAGCTTAGATCAGACATGTCAAACTCACAACGTCATGTGACGTCACACAACGTATCAGGAGAGTTTTGCCATTGCCGGCAATGGGGTGGGCACGGCTTCCGCATGACGTGTCTGGCCCACGGGCTGGCAGTTTGACACCTCTGGCTTAGATCATCTATGCAATCAGATACAAGAAGGTAAACACTTTACAATTCTACTTAGATTGTGTATATTTACATAAAATAGAAAACATATAGAAAATGGGACACAGAATCTAGTCCAAAGTTTACACTTGTCCACTGACTGATTTTGGTGGAAGTTTAAATATATTTATTAACTGCTTTATTTTTCTTTTGCATTGTCACTGTTATCTAGTATCAATGACATTGGCAGAATTTGGAGGTATGGTCAAAATGATACCATTACAGAAACTGTATGCACTCTGTATTATAATATATGTTCCAAAGGAGTACAGTTTTTTATATAATGCACATTTAAAAATTTGCCACATTTTATTGGATAACTAAAGTTTGGGGTGTGTGCGTAGAGGAGAAATAAGAAGAAATACATTCAGTGATGTTGTAGTATAAACTTCATCCATTTCATATTTGTATCATTATAAAAATACAAGTACCAAGGAGTGGAACTTGCATCATTTTGACAACTCTTGGCTTGCTGTGGTTGTATCTACATAACAATTTAAACAATTGAGTGCTCCCCCAGAACACTCTTCTCTCCCTCAACTGCCATTAGTCCCCCCCCCCCAGATTTTTCATCGTATAGCCCAGTACCTCATTGCTTCCATCCTATCACTGGACAATGGAAGTATGTAATATCACATTTTAGCACAGAAATAAACAGCAGAGAAGTTGCTACTACTACCATATCTTTAATATTATCACGAGAACCGTAAGGAATAAATTTATTCCTCTTTTTCTAGAAGAAGCATTCTTTTATGTAGACTAATGCATGGATACATGATTCAGTATTATTATTATCTGGGAATTGAAATAGTTTCAAAGGATATGGGAAATACTCATAAACAAGTTTAAAAATAATTTAACATGCCACTTTGAATTATTTCTAACATTATATACATATATACCCACAAATAATAAGAACTTAGAGAACACAAACAAATTTTAACAGAATACCAAATAATAATGCACACTGACACACTGGTTAGAGACCATGTAGCATTCCCTCAAGGCAGTCCTGATGGTCTGAAATTATATGGCTCCCTAGATGGGAGATTCAATCCTGAAGAAGAACCTAGAACTAGTAGACTAGAATCAATCATATCATGGAAGGAGGGATTTCTGGAAAGTAGCCTACCTTTACAAGAAAATAATACAGGTCAAACATCTGCCAGCAAAAACACAAGAGTCCTACCATTTGCTTTGCCTCTCAGACTTTAACTTCTCCTTCAACCCAGTTTACACCAGCTTTCAGTCAACAGGTAGGGATCCCGATTGACTGTCCTCTTCTACCTGTACTTGGGGAAATTACTTATACAGTTTAATCCTCCTTGAATAATGGAGTAGGAATTTTAGCATACTAAGTATGATTTTTTTTTTTACTTGAGTAAACCCATATTGAGCAATTGCTAAGTAATCAAAAGTAAGTGTCATAAAGAGTTCGGTGATACCCATCTGAATGATGCCTGGATAGACATTGGAAGAGCAGGTGGGAACCACTGTCCCCTTAAGAACAAATGGAGTATCCAGTGGCACACTACCATTCGAGTAGTGCCAGATTATATAAAGATGGAAACTTGATTTATGAAAATTAGTGAGCAATGTTAATAACTTTATCACTCTAGGTGAATTTTCTATTATCAGTCTCTCCTTTCCAATCCATACTAATTTGAGCATGAACCTCTTTAAACTAGGGTAGCAATAAAACCTATTCTTAGAACCCTAATAAGGAAGCAGACACCTCCCTGTTTAACCCCAGTGAGAAAGCCGTGTGATTTATGATGGATGTCTCTGAACAATTTGTGCAGGAAATGAACACAGGAACTGAATTGTAATTTGGAATAAGTATCTATATAATTTTACAGACCATATTTATTGATCTCTGAGATTGGTGTGCTCACTCAAGACACAGATGCTAGTACAGATTGACAACTGACTATTTCATCAAGGAAAAAAAATCATATTCAGCCTCTCAGCTGCATATTAAACACCTCAATTTAAAGGAAACAACTAGAGAATGCATTCTTGTGGGCATTATGGAAAGGAAAACATTACCATGTTTCTATCAGAGGCATCATTCACAAATATGTGCATATAATTTCTAGATACATATGAATGGGGATATGTAAAATGGGTTGAATATCTAGATTTTTTTAAAAAAAACTGTCATTAAGAAAGGTTGAGAAATGCACCTTTTTATTAAAGCCATTGCAGGAGGAAAACTGTATTACTCTATGAAAACAAACAAACAAAAAATCAAAAGTCTAATGATATTATTATGCAGGGCAGAACATTACTTGTCACTTTTTTTAATGCAGTAGATTGTTTGCTGCATTATGTGATCCTAGCCATTTATACTTTATTTAATATTTAAGAGCTAACCAAGCTATTATTTAGTATGGTACATGAACTAAGCCATAATTTGATCATAAACTGATCATACGAGTCCATTGGGTTCCAAAGCAGTCTTCTTACAAAAGAACAGCTGATTAGAGTCTAGATCTCATCTAGTAACTAAACCTAGGTCTCATCTGGTTGATTACTAAGAAGACTAACACTTTTCTGCACCAGAATTCAGGATGATGTTTGCATGAATTATAACCTCATGCATAAATTAATATTTTTATTTGAAACCCTTATGAGTATGGCTCTACCAGATAGCTATATGTTGTTTTTGAAGAAAGAATTATGTCTATTCATCCAGGGTTCCAAGTGCTGCTATAAAACAACACAATAGTAATAAACAAACAAACAAATAAATAAAACATTCACAATAGTGGGCTATTCTTGATACTGAATAACTCACTGTTCATTATCAATAGCAATGTTCAATGTTTTGCATGTATATTCAACTCCAGGTGGCAAACATGTTTAACACTCCTACCTCCTCCTATCAATTATCCTGATTTAGATTATTACTTGGTAATTAACTTGATTTAAACTTGGGATAAGATATTACATTAATAAGCTTTTATTTATCTGAGTCTCATAGTGATAAACTTCAAATTAATAAAGTATTCTGCCTTGAGCGATGTGAAGTTTAGGAATGAATAAAATGTGCTTTTAAAAAAACCCATTAAAATATACTGTTAAACAGAATGTGGTGATTGCCAATTCTTTTTAGTTCCAATTTGGGCCAATTTGACTTGTGCTCTTTTAAAAAATCCGAACAGAATGTGAGCAATTGTTTGATATTCAGAATTCTTGAATATCTCTGTTTTAGTAAAGTTACTGGAAACAGACATTTTGATGTATACCATTCATCTTTTCCTGAGGACTCAATCTCTCTCTGGAATCTTACAGGATTTATCTTGAAAGCCTAATCTCCTTTTATTCCAACACAATTGCATTCCAGTTAAAAACAGGAAAAAACATATCAAAAGATTATGAATTTAGTTTATTATACCATAGCATTCATACATATTCTGACATGGGTTTGAATCAAGGCTCACAAAGTATTTGCTTAACATTAGGTAAGTATTTGAACATTATATAAGAAACAACTGTCCATTTTAGACAACTAAAGTAGCTTTGACATGTTATTCAGCTGCCAAGCTTGACAGATATTATGAGCAGCTGAAAGAGGATAATGCCATGTTCTCTTCCAAATTACTAAATATTTTTCCATCAAACCTCTCCATCAATGTATGCCTTTCTGAAAGATCCATTTGCTTGAAAACAAGTCCTATGGACTATAAACTCTGCGGGCTTGTTACGTACCAATTTCAGAAGCAGTGACTGTAATATTGTACCAAAGGGTTTCTTCTCTGTCAAAGACCTTAGCAGTCTTAATGGTTCCAGTGTTTGCATCAATAGTGAAGTATCTGTCTTCTGTATTGTAATCAATGAAATACCTAGGAACATACAAAATGAAAACATAAGTTTAAAAATAAGCATTAAGCATTCAGCAGTGAGCAATTTCCTTAACTGTTTACATTTATATCCAGGGAGGGAGTCACAACCTAATCCTAGCATTTTTGCAAGTAGCTATATGGATGGTCTCCTGCAGTCTTGAATGATTAAAGCTGTTGGGATGGACAGTTCCTGGTTAGCTTGACCAATGGCTTCATTCAGTTTATGGAAGCAATAAACACAACACTTCTGGAATCAACAGCCTGCCAGAAAGATCATTTCTAACATTGCTTCATTGCATGTATCTTTCCAAGCATGCAGACTGGCTGAATTTATGTACAATAAATATTACAGTTAATCTTTAAAGCTGTGAATTGGTTCTGTTTTTATTTGGCATCAGCGCAACAAGTATTACTTCTGTTGGACTAATGCTTCAATGCTGTTTTGGTTGTATATTATATGCATGTTTACTGTACCTTGTTTCCTTTCAGATAAACATTTTTTTTATCATTTCCATTTATCATTACCATCTTCTAAGAGATACCATCCATTTAATCATACTTAATTGGTTCAAACAGAATTAACATGTGTTAGTCCAAATAAAGGAATGAGCAAAATTACAGCATGTGTATGAAACTGCAAAATAAGACATACATGTTTTAGTTCAGGTGCCAATTCTTGTTCCTTTTTTATGAGGCCTTGGACCATAAAAGTTATTTTGTTAAGTGAACAGAAGGGATGGATTTTTCTATGGACCTTCTAGTTTATTCCATTATGTGTTATACTGTTTCTGAAATCTAGTCAAAATAGGGGAATTTCTAAAAATTATTCTGGAAATAAAGAATGCAGAGTTTCCTGGAGGTTTCTCTCTTATTTTTCTCTGTTTCATCTCTAGCTCTTCCTCTCACTTGGGTTACAAATCTGCATAATAATAATAATATAGTGTAATGAGTGCACAACTTATTTTTCATGCAGATTAATTTAAATCTATGCATATTTTCCTACAGATGCATAAGTGAATTCATGCTTAATATACAAGACTACATAAAAAGGACATGGATAGAACCATATGTCACAGAGAAGTATTTCTGTAAAAATAAGATATTATACAAACTGTATTATGATGCACATGATTTTGAAATACAGTACTACAATCTTGCATATTTAATAATGTTGTGTAAGGGTCTGCACATGAGACAAATTAATGTCTGAAAAAGTACATATATAGTATGATTTACAGATAAAATAATTAAAATGGAAACTGTGTTGATTGTATAGTTACAACACTTAGAAAACAGTGCAAACTTGTAATCTAGTTTGGATATTATAAACTTAAGAAAGTTGTAGAAATAAAGGTCAAACATGGTGAAGAAAAAGGTACAATAAATATTAGGAGTGAGATATGAGAAACTGGAAGGCAAGAGAGAGGTTATCAGGAACAGTGATCAGAGTTTATCAAAGCATTTTTGTTGTTAGTTGAGAAGTCATGTCTGACCCATCGTGACCCCATAGAACAGCTTTCCTCCAGGCCTTCCTGTACGCTACCATCTTCTGGAGTCCATTTAAGCTCATGCTTCAGTGACTCCATCCAGCCACTTCATTCTCTGTCATCCCTTTCTTCTATTGCCCTCAATCTTTCCCAGTATTATGCTCTTCTCAGTGAGTCCTTCCTTTTCATTAGGTGGCCAAAGTATAAGGAGAAAGGGGACAATTTTAGAGATACTTTAAAGATGCAATGATCAGCATTGAACTATAGATGAATAAAGACTCAACAATGACTGATGAATCAAATATAATCCCCGTGGTTATTCAACTGGGCAAAAGAACAATCTATTATTTCTGCTGGGCAAATTAAGAGAAAAACTGTGAGATTTTCAAAAGACAGACAAACCCTAAGTTTAGATCTCTTTAACTGGTTTAGAAAATGAGAAAAAAAAATAAGATAAAATGACAATTTGCTAGACCATGATAATAGATAGTCTGTAGCAGAATATGTTCTAGAACCAAATAACAGTGCTGTGTATCAGTCACAGAAATGTAACATTAAATCCAATGTAAAATATAGTAGTAATAAAAGTTTAAGATTGTTGAAAAAAGAAGGTTTCTGGAATATATATATATATATATATATATATATATATATATATATATATATATGGAGGAATATATATATTCCTTTTTTCACAAGTATATTTCTCTAAGTCAGATCACAATGTGGCTGTTATAACACAAAAACATGACCATAGGTATCATTTTAGCTGCATAAAATGGATAGACACAAACACACACACAGAGACACACACACACAGAGAGAGAGAGAGAGAGAGAGAGAGAGAGAGAGAGAAAGAGAAAGAGACTGACACAATGTGACAGTATATTGCTAATGTTTGGCTGTCACCTTCTTCTCTTGCTGTAATATAGAATTCCTTCTTATGATTATAAAAATATGTTGTATTTCCCAACTTCCATCCTCAAAAATGTCATTGTGATCAAGGATGACTAAACCAATAACTCCTACAACTGAATAAATGAGCTCTTTTATTAATGAAAGCAAGGTCCTTGAAATAAATAGGAGAAACAAAATGAGAGGGCATTCAGAAGAGATGGGTAAGCATTATCTTTCAAATTATACTCCACTGAAGGTTACTGTTAACAATTGAAGCAATTATGAGCATCCAGCAGAGAGGCGTTTATATTATGGGACTATGGCTTTGAAAACATTCAAATTGTTTAAAACAGCCATCATGATTTATCTTTTGTTTTAACTATTTCCACTTCTCATACTTTTCTGCAAAGTCAAACATAGTACAGTGTGTACTACTACCTACTGTACTTATTTCAGGCAATAAAAGTTTTAATTTAATAAATTTGCTAAAAGGAATCTGAAAAATTTTGGAATTGGGGTGGTTTGTGTAGTACTAATATGCACACACACACACACACACACACACCATGTTCTAAGCAATCTACTTATGGATATTTTAAGAACATAATATTGGAAAGTTGAAATGCCTTTGTATTTACAGGTGTTTTCTTCCATAAACCAAATACGATTCTTCAATGGCTTAAGCACATTAGACTAGTTTCAATAATTATGCTTCTATTCCTCCAATTCAGACATAAAGAGTCCATTTTCTTGACAGTGAACCAAAATCAATAGTACCTCTTGTGTTATTTGAGAAAAAAATAGTCATTTCTGTGTGACTTTTCATTGAGCCTCAGACTGTGGCCAAGCTTCATGGCATTCAGAAATTGGCTCTTTGATGGAGATTCTGAAGATTTATTACACAGTAAGAAAGGCTAAGAACATTTCCAAGACACAATAGGAAAGCATGACAAATCATGTTTCTAAAGAGAAATAAGACATATAGTAGACATCTATGAAGAAATCATTTAAACTTCTGTCTTGATAGTATTCAGTCTCAAAGGCCAGTTTTTGGCATTCATTTAACTGATTTCAAATGATTGGATAACATAAATCTGGGTGGATTAAATCAGTTTAGCTTGCTTCAATTTTGTTTCTGATGTATCTATTTTAAGTTCCCCGCTTCCTGATGTAAGATTTTGAAGGTGCCCAGTTATGACATGTAATAGCACAGGTAGTTCTCAAGTTATGACAATTCACTTAGTGACAGTTCAAACTTACAATCCCTTCCCCAAAAATACTTACAACCCATTCCTGAAGTTATGAATGTTGCAGCACCATGGCAGTGGTTTGCCCTTACAACTGACTGCAGAGACGCTGCAACATGCCCCCTGCCTATTTCCCATACACACACACACACACATACGGACACACACACAGGGTTTGCATAGGCACTGGGTCTGCTATGCTAGCCCATCGGCTCCTCCTCATTATGTCACTGATTGCTCACTTACCTTTTGAAGATCTGCAGAGGTGGCCAGCTTCTCAGATGCTGGTGAAACTGTTTTCATTTGATCTTGTGTTCTTACATACCCTTCCATACCCTTTGCAAAAGCCTTTTTGCAGATGCCGGAGACCTGCCGGAGCACGAGATTGCATTGCTGCAGGTCTCCGTCATCCACTGGACATGCTTTTTCCAAAAGGGACGGAAGAACACAAGTTTTAAAGAAAACAGCTTTACCTACATCTGAGAAGATGGCTGCTTTTCAGCCACATAGCCCTGAATTCTGCTGATCTTCGAAAGGTAAATGCGGAGAAAGCCAAAGCAGCTGTGGGGACCCTAAGGGGTGGGAAGGGGAGAATGAGATATCTCAGTGGGTATGGGGAGGCCTTGGGTGGCCAGAGGCAGGTGGTCTTTTTCTGCACTGCCCCCCCCGCCTTTCCCACCCGAAGTACCTCATGCGCAGTTAATAACCTATGCATTCAATTAACAAATGCATTGGAGAGGAGGGATGGGGTTCATTCAATTCATTCAATTAATGTTACAATTGTAATGGGCAGAGTCCATTACAGTCATGAACTCGAGGACTACCTGTACTATGGCTCATTCATGAAAAAATATTTTATTTATACAAACGTTTATAAACCAACTTAGTTCACTTAAACAGAAGGTCATCTTATGTTTTGCATGTGCAAATAAGCCATCAGAAATGCAGTATTGTAGGCAGAACTTTAATATACTCAACCAACTCAAAGACAAAAAGTGTTTATGAAGAATTGAGAAACCACATGCAAGCTAAGATCCTGAATCAAGCTATGCACGTCTGAACCAATTTATTGAATTCAGAGCTCTCCTTATTTTCCAATTTTCAAAGGAAATAATTCGTTTGTATAGAAACTGGCCAAAGTAGAGTGAGCACAGACCAGAAATATTTTTCTCAAGAGTGTAATTCATTATTAATAAGAAAATATCTCATTAATGACAGAAGCAGTAGCACAAAGAAGGATTTTACCCAGCAGGGATATTACTGAAGTATAAATGCATGCTTTGGATACACTGGATATATGTACATCTCAAGTCTTAGTTGTATCCGTGTAAGTATGATCAATGATACAGTGTGGGAGCAGGGGAGTTAC